ACTTCGAGAGTCGCACTGTCTTAAATTCCCTCCGTATGTTTTCGTGCCTGAAAGCCTTTTATTTCTTTTCTGTGTTTGTGTATGCTGTCACAAACAACAAATCAATGGATAAAACATTGGAGGGGGAAAAAAAGAAGTGAAAGCACGATCACCCGCGCCAGTTTCCTTGGCTCAGGTGTTTGAACAATTCATTTGTTACCTGACAGACATTGATGAAATCGGGTTTTTCCAGGTTCATGTAGAGTTTGACCAGCACCCTCAGCACGTCGTTACGGAACTTCTTGTTCTGCGTCAGGGACATGCACACCTTCAAGCTGTAGGCAAGGAGGCCACTCACATCATTCTGGAAGGGAAGTGAAAAGAAAGAAATTCTTAAGATGAAACGTTAATAACCTTGAACAATCAACAGCAGTAACCAAAGCGTAAATCTTATTAAAACTTGTTATAAAGATCCAAAATAATCTCAAGTTAGCAGAAAACTGCACTGACTGATTCTAAGATGGTTTTCTCAAACATGTCCAGACGTCTTGTTTCCAGGGCGATGCCAATGGCCTGTTTATACTTGTGATCGTCAAGGCAACGCAGGAACATCTTGTTGACAATGCCCTCGAGACGGGGGTCTATGGTTTTCTTCTCTTCGCCCTCTGGCAGCTCGGTATTCTCCACCCGCAGCTTGGTGTAATGGTCGATGCATTTGGCTGCATCCACAAAAATAACAAGTTATGTAGGTAAATATATTTATTTCATACATACTTTTCATTAGAAAGCAACGGAGGATAAACCTTACGTCCAACATTACATCTTTATTTTACTTTGCACTGGTAAGAAGAGAAGAAGTCGTCCCCCCCCCCCCCACTCACCAATGATGGTCTCCACATATTCTGAGTCATCTGTGACACTGAAAAGATCTCCTGCACCAAGAGCATAATTTAGAGACTCTTCAAAGGCTCCAAGATGGTAGAAAACCTTGGAGGCCACCAAGGCTGCAAATTCTCTACTCCGGAAAGACTCATCCTCATATAGGACTTCACTGTGAGGAGACAACAACGAGTTACATAAAACAAAACTGTCAGGAGCCATTTTTCTAATCACCATTGAGTAAATTGTAGATCAGATCAGAGATGATCAAAATCATTCAGTTCTGCATTTATTACTGAACTATGAGGGAGCTTTGAGGGAGAGTAAATACTGATGTCAGTGTCTCAGCATTTACAGGGAAAGTCAGTTAAATCTTTAACCCTACAACAGACATAGAAATAAACAATGAGCTTAAGTTCCTGCTGACTTATGTTACAGTACTGTAATAACTATAATATAAGCTCTTCGCTACTTACATCTTATCCACGGATCCTGAAATCTCAGCCCAAAAGTCATTCACAATGGCATCTAGCTTGTGCAGAGCAAACTCCTACAAGAAAAACAGACGTGTTGTTTAAATATTCATCTTTGTATTCACTTTTATGTAATACTGCATACACCAAATGAGTTTACATTTATGTCACGTAGAAAAATAAAACATTGACCAAAACTTGATGGGCCACACTGACAATTCATAAAAGTCAAGAGACTTTATCTCTGCAACTGTATCTCTTGTGGTGAGATAACAAGACATGAAAATCTCCCGTTACCCGAATATTCAATTGACTACCCTACAGCCAACTCTTACCTTAAGCTGGGGCTCATCCTCATCAAGGAGAGAAATAATTCCAGCTAGAAAACAAAAGAAATTATTAAATGGATGTTTACTTCATAAAATCCAAATACTTTTCTTTTGATCCAACGGTCATTTCAAATACTAAATACATTTGCAAATCAAAGACAATACATTCTAAGAATACATTACATTACAATACGGTCTGAGGAGATACAGAAGCTTATTGAGGATCAAATATAATGTTAGCCCAAAATCTGGCAATTTGAAGATTGTTTATAGCAATACTAAGATGACAGCAGCATTTAGGATGTATTCAAACACATAACGTCATCGGAAATTACGTCTCAGATGAAAGCAAAAATGAACATGTTTATCTATAAAGATCCATGCTGTTGCCATTACTGTAATTTATTTCCGCTTCCTCCATTTAAACAGCCTTGTAGTGATTAAAACCATTTCTGAAGCACGGGAAATCCACAATGAAATGTGTTTCTCCTTACTATAACTACTTTAGTAATTTTATATGTGATCAACGGTCTATGGTGGGCTGCCAAGTACTAGCCGTGTGACTCAGCTAAATCAATGGCAACGGCTAACAAAATAAAGCTACCTTTAACTACTTACCGGCAGATGTTATCATGATTGGCTCTTCGGTCCCTCCTCGGTCCCGCGTATCCTAGTGTGACGGCGAAATTTCGTGTGATTTGTGAGAAGTTAAAGAAAAGATTTGCAATATTTGGATATGTTTAACCACCGAACTGAACGCAGCCGCTGCTAACTTCTTTTTGTTCAACACTGCAAGTCCCTGTCTGAAGGACCCTCGGGTTGGCCAGCTGTAACTATGCCTGATTAAAAACGTAAAAAAATGTATACAATTCACGCTGGATTCATCAGTTGGACCAACATATTCCAGTTTTATAACTAATTAACATAAAGATAACGTAAATATTATTTGAAAAAATGTGGGGAATTTGTAAATGTAGTTGAATGTATCCGATTTTTACACTGGCACCTCAAATGGCGACCTGCCAGCCCAGCAGCTCTTCTACTAGTGTTGGGATTTCCGACTCTTTTTAGAGAACCGGCTCTTTCGGCTCTACTCACTAAAAAGATCCGGGCCCTGTGCTTCGTACGTCGCTCACTACATCCAAGATCAAATGAAACATCCAAGACCAAACTATCGCGCTAACCGTGAGCTCGCTAATCCGGTTCCCCGAACACACCTGCTGTTGACGATTAGTACAGCTGGATGAAGTAATGTGCGATCACTGGGTGTCGTAAAAGGGGATACGCATCGATAGCAGAAACAGTGATCGGCAACCCTCTGATTGGTCGGCGAAAATGTCGAAGGGGCGTGCTCGGTATTTTCCGGCAGCAGAGCAAGAACTCATGAGTGAGGGATGTCAGGAGTTTCAGAGTTTAATTAAAACGCAAGAGAACACTGCAAAGGCTGCAAAAGCAAGGAGAGAGGGCTGGCAGAAAGTTGCTGACAAATCAGACTCGTAGGTAATTTAATAATAATAATAATAATAATGGATTGGGTTTATATAGCGCTTTCCAAGGCACCCAAAGCGCTTTACGATACCACTATTCATTCACTCTCACATTCACACACTGGTGGAGGCAGCTACGGTTGTAGCCAGGCTGCCATATCGCGCCATCGGCCCCTCTGGCCAACACCAGTAGGCGGTAGGGTAGATCTATCATATGACACGATATTATCCAATATTATATGGCATTACATTACATTATAATACGTTATATTATATCCCCTTTCACATTAGAGCCACAACAGGACCCACAAGAACATGGGAACAAGTAAAAGTGGAATACAGGAGTATTCTACAGAATGGTAATATTTATCTCTTAGGTTGCTTTTCGTCTCTTGGCAAGGTAATACTGGCCTGTAATACTCTGTTAGTTTGTTCATCACAGCAACCAAGAAAAGGGCAGAGCAAAAAAAGACAGGTGGTGGTCCTGCACCCCCTCGTCAACAAGTTGGTTAAGTAAATAATACCCTCACGGGAATATCGATATCTCTCAATGAGCACACTGTCGCGCTGAGCTAAAGGATCCTGTCTATCCCGCAACATACGCTGTATTCTGAGGACTCTCCTTATCAATCTTGCACCTTCCGCAATGGGTTGCTCGCGTAAACGGACAGGACATGGCTGCGACAGGCTTCCCAAATCCACCTTCGCTTTTATAGCCGTGGTCTCTCATCTTGATTACACGAAGTAATTTACAATTACTACTCTGAAATATGAATTACATCTGTAATAATCACATACATGTAATAGAATGTTAATAGTACATTTCCCTTTTTTAGGGACTGACCTGTATGTATCTGTGTGACATCAATAAAAGGATCAAGTGCTGCATTATCTTTAGTTACATTGATGTTATTTATTTATGGTGAAACAGTGGTAAAATATCGCTGTTGCTTTCGTATAAATGAAGCAGACATACCTGCGTGGCCGCGATCTAATCCTGTTTACATAAAGTAAACCTGCTCCCCAGCAGGTTTACGCTTACGGCTCTGTTGCTATGACAGCAAGTCCCAGATGGGCTTCGGGGAACCGAACGATCCAGGATCACGCGAAATCGTCAACAATCTAATCCAGCTAACTCACTTAGCGAGGTACGAAGAACAGGCCCCCGGTGCTTTCGGCTCCCAACCGACTCTTCAGGTTGTTTTGTTGCTTTAATTAATTTATTATTAACCATAATATAAAATTATTCACAAAAGGAATTACTATTGTAAAGGATTTCAACTTTTAACTATTTAAATTTTCAGCTTTTTCCTTTTAAACAATTTTAAAGTGAAACAACACAAAACACTGCAAACCACAACACAATTAAATATAAATTAAAATATGAAAACAAAAAGAAGATACACATTCTCTGTCTTATGGGCCTGCATGAATAAACTTTCTGAATCCTTTATCATCTGCAACTGCACAAGGCTCGTGTGCGGAGTGGAGTGGAGAAAAAGTGCGAGAGAGAGGGTGAGAGAAAGAAAAAAAAACAAACCCCACGGTTCCCAATAAGGAGTTGGCTCATGTCGTTCACTTCAAAGAGTCGGCTCTAAGAGCCGTTTCATTCGCGACCGACACATCACTATCTTCTACGTTTCTGTCAAGACAAGGCAGGTCGCTTACAAACAGTAAATTAGCACATCTGGCAATTAAATGAAGATCGTGGAAGCCAAGGGGCGGCGTGTTTTTCATGCAAAGTTGTATGACAATACAGCTTTCGATGACTACTAGTTGTCACCCAGGCAGTTTTTACTTTATTGAAAGAATAGGCAAGGAGTATGTGTTTTAAAACAAAGCTGAACACTCAGGCAAGTCCAATGATGTTTATTTAAAGGGATGAATAAGTCAGTAGGCTACATAAATACAAGTGACATAAATCTCGTTACAAATATTGGTGGTCCTAAAAGTTGTCTCTAAGACACAAAATCCTAATGAAAATGAAAAATAAAATCTTAAGTAAAGCACCCAGGGTCCCTGTTATCCAATTAATACGGTTTTCCGGAAAATTAGTGCAGTGCTTCTAGGCGAGAACGTGACCTGGATTCAGGTAAACTGTGCGAGATTTCACATTTTAAGGCTTTTATCATGTCAGTTGATTTTGTTCTTTAATTCCCTGTATTTGATATACACAAGTTCCCTGACAAACAGTGAGCCAGGAATCAAGTCCTGTATCATTTTATAAGAGTACTTATGCTGTAAGCCGTCTAACGCTTTCTCAACACATAACAAACTAATGCATGTTTCAAACCTGACAGTGTTTAGGTGGCTTTGACGTGACAAGAAGTATGCTGGCTCATAAGAAGTGGGTCCCTGAGCATCACAAAGAAAAATTGTAACACTGTAGCAAAGCACTGAGGTCAGCTTCTCTTTTCAGTCTAAAAAGCACACAGGTTACATTAGCCGTCTCCTCCAGATGGATCTCCATTCAGAGTTGGTCCAGTAGACAAGGCACAGGCTTTCAGAGGGATGCCCTCTTCTGCACTTTCAGCGTCACCTGAAAAAAGACAACTTGTGAGCTTGCAGTGAAAATAAGTGACTGCAGGACTGTGGTGCAGTTCAGGCATTTCTCTGCTGAAGTTACTTTGCAGCTACCTCTTTGCTCGCTGCTTGAACCTCGGTCTTCTCTTCTCCTGTGGCTGAACCAACGTTGCAATGGCCAGAAAACTGGGTTCCCTTCATCCCTAGTATTATCTGAAAGGCGATAAGAAGCGTTTAACAATGTGGCAGCTTTTCTAAGGGGGCGACCGTTTTGTGAATGCTCCCATTGTTTCCTGGCCTTTGCAGCCCTGCCTGGGAAGAAAAATGTGTGCAGTGTGGTCTTGTGAGTGTCATGAAGTGGCCTACACAAGAGTGAGCTCTCTCATTAAAGTACATTAAAGTATGTCCTGTATGGACTTGAATTGAAGTAGTGCTCATTGGTGAGCATACAACGATCATATTATGAGTAGTGGAGGCTTCGGTATAATAGTTAACATATTATATCTTGGACAAATTATGCTGTTTGCCTCTTGCTGATCTAATATGCTGTACATTGTACAATATTCCCATGCTGGCCTGGTGAAATGTGCCAGGGTTCAAACTCCATGTTTACAAGCATGTGTCCTGCTGACATGGGTGTGTGCGGTTGTTGCAGATGGTCACACTAAAACATTTTTTTTTTTCTACACACTGCATGAAATAAATAAGCTTTTCTGAGGTTTTGCTACAAGTGGAATGTGTGTACACCTGCTGCTTGAGATGAATGTATAACTCTGCAGACGTTTTTCTTGATGCTGAGCATTAGGGTGTCTGTCTTCGGGATGAAGCAGCCGACCCATATCGCCTCTGATGCATGGTTGTGGAACACCGAGCGGATCAGACGCTCCAGAAGCTGGGCGCACCGGCGCGTCTCGGCGCTCTCGTCGGTTGTGTGGATTAATCCAATCAGAGCTGGCCGGGCGATTGTAGCGCGTTTCGTGCGTGCCTTTACATCCTTGAGGATCTCTTTTAAGCACACCTCGTTTGGAGCTCGGCCGATGAAAGTCTGTCTGAAGATGAATATGATGACAGGGGAGTCTATCGCTCGCTTCAGGCTGTGACTGTTCGCCCTCCTCGTTGCTGTCCTCTGAGCATTGCTACTACCCGCTGGTCGTCTCTTTTTCTCTCTGTCCTCTCCCAATTCCAAGTCCTTGGGCCTCGCTGTTAGATAATTTTCATTGCCCTTTCCAGTCTCCGCCTCGCTGGAAACGTGGTTTGTACTTGCTTTACCGCCATGATCGCTCGTCGGACTTGACTGGGGGCCACCATGACCGTTTGCCACCAGACTGCCGTCGTGAAACATGTCGCGTACGAACTCCTGCAATATTTTGGCGTCATCTCCGTCCAAATCTTTACTTCTGCAGACATCACTCACCAAATAAATCCTCTCGCTACCTCCAATTTTCGCTATAGCCTTTTGAAACTCCCTCTCCTCGTCCGGTAGCGTGTCCTTCAGTGACTCCTCGTCCGCCATCCTTGCGCAATTTAAGCTGCGTCGATCTGTTTTATTTACATGAATCGTCAATCCATTGCTGGAGGGTGAACCGGTGAAACTTGTTTACGGTCATCAGCGGGAAGGGTGTGTGTGTGTGTGTGAGGAGGAGGGTGGGGGGGATCTACTCGCATTTGTATTGGCTGATCCTTTTAGTGGGCGTGGCTAACCGTCAATAACCAAACGACAGTGGCTTGATAATGAAGTTAATCTTTAATGGATAACTAGACAGAAATACATATTGGAAATACATTACTACCAATTATCCTAGAATATCATTTAACAGCAGTCAGAGGGGATGAAAGGGGAAAAATAGTACAGTTTTTTTTTATTTTCTAAGAATTTCTTAGAAGTATTGTGGGGTAAATGGTGGATATTTAAACCTCAGGGTGTAGACTTCACTTTCTTTATTCCCACTATTCACATGGAAAACAGTCTCGACTTCTCTCCAGAGTCATAAATTCTTATCTAAGTGGAAAAAAAGAAATGACAGAGAGCACAAAAGTTTATTTGTCTGACCCACATTTGTTAAAACAGCCCATTTCTGGAAATATTTGACTTCATTGTGAGATCAAAAAATGACTTTCACACTCAAACTCCTCTCTACTTCAACAAGCTCATGAGTACTTCAGACTAATCCTTTAATCCACCCACGTTTGTTCCTCAAATTAAAAGGTGCCGTCATCCTAAAATGCCATTGAGTTCATTAACTGAAATCCAAATGGAATAACTTCAGCTGCTGAGTTTGTGTGAGATTGTTTACTGATGGATAATAAACTATAAAGTTGGACCAAAATCAATGCAGAGGTTTCAGCCTTTGACCTTTAGACTAGCTGAACACTGATTAGGTGGGTGGTGCACTTGCTTCATCATGTCTTTGCAGTGTAACTGAACAGTACAGCTTTAAGTGTTTTTTAGTTAAAACCTGTTATGTACAAAATGCACACAATACTGTTACTTTTTATGCTTATAGCACAACCACCAACATTTCTCTCCCAGCAAATTCAAGGCGTACATTTCAACACTTTGGACAGTTCCCACACTACGTTTGTTGTGTATGCTGGAGTCAGTCTACTGACCTTTTCAAACCATAAAAGGAGAGACTCGGGGTCAGGAAGCCCACTTTGACCAGAGAGAGAGACACAGAGACACAGGCAAACTGCAATAACATGAAGTCCAAAGCAAAATTCAAAACAAGAAATGGCACTGTTATCACCCTTGAAAAACTTTTTACATATTGTTGAAAGAAACCTCATTTCCAGATAAAGTTCTGTGCAGAAGTCTTGAGCCATCCGTCATCAGCCTTTCTAAATTTCTAAAATGGCAGTGATAACACAGTTTGATTAGTCTGAGGAAACTGGAAAGGCGAAGGACCGAAGAAGACGCTGAACATCTAAGAATATCTACAACAGATTAAAAGCAGTTGAAAGTCATGCCAATGAGAAATAAGAAAAAAACAAATGCCAAATTGCACAAGAACTGCACTGAAAATCAGTGCAACATGCTTTACGGATGATGAAGCCATATTTGAGAGGTTTTTTTGTTTTTGTTTTTTTGTCAAATCATCATCAGTATGCATGGAGGAGGTCAGAGGACCAAGGGCACCAGTAAAATACAGTGGAGGCTCTGTCATGGGGGTCTTGTCAAAATAATGGAATTATGAAAAAAGGGAAGTACCATCAGATTTTGATCCACCATTCAATACAATTTAGAAAACATCTGATTGGCAACATCTTCATGTTTCAGCAGGAAACTGATGCCAAACACGCTGCAAATGCAGTAAAAGCATACCTGGATAGACAAATGAGTGCATCTGGTTATTAGATATTGAAAATAAGCCTGTTTATTTACTCTTCTTTTTACATGCCTCACTGTAACTCTTCAACACATTTTCTTAAAAATGAAAGAAATCAACAGCTTTTCATTCCAGCTTACTGACTCAAGTCAGGTCACTCATTTCACGAGAACATGATGCTTTTTCTAGTAATAATAAACCCAGTGATAAACAATGAGACTTCACTCTTTCTGCACTCTGAACGCAGCTGCTCTTTAAAAGTATTTTTCCTCTGAAAGTACACAGTTATCCTGCAACATTTCTTCTTGTGATTTTATTTTCGTTTTTTTTAATCATGTAATAAGAAACTTTGGAGTTTTTCTTATTTCTCTTCTTCCAAACACAATATAAAAATTTAGTTTTAATGGGGGTTGGAGTGGATTTATTCAATAGAGACACAGGACATGAGTTGAATGTGAGCAGGCCAATGACTTGCAGTAAAGGGGACACGCTGCTCAGGTCAGTCGAGATAGTCTTTGTTTTGCCGCCATCTTGTGGATAAATGTTTTACCTGGGTGCAAATTTTGTGCTCATGAGGTTTTTTTTTGGCTGTATGAATTTTATCTTAAAATAATACTAACAGGAATTTGAGAACAAACATAATCAGTGTATATTTTTTCTCAAATTTTCTTTCTTAAAAAAACAATGTCAAAGTAAGCAGAGAGAAATGTCACAGGTGAATTTGCTAAAAATGATTTTAAACTATTCATTGAACTGAAGAAATTCATTGTAAGTTTCTCAAGTATGGCATGAATGAGAACTTACTGATCCACCTTACAAAGATTTGAAGTGAGGATAATGTGATGTCGTTCACATAAGTTAGGTGTGGCTCAATGGTTACAAAGAGAGGGGAGGTGATCCGGGCTGAAGCGGTTGATAGGAGCCAGAATATACAGGGCAACTACAAGTAACTGAGTATCCCAGAAGCCAGTGGGAACCGTGATAAAGATGCACAAAGGCGAGTCACAGCCAGGTATTAGGATCTATAAGCAATGGAAAGAGGGAGCCACAATCCAGGATGTAACAAAAAGCGCCTGTGAATACATCAAGACGCCTGCCCAAGATGAGCTGCTCAAGAAAGCCTCAGGCAGCTGAACAGGAAGAGGAACTATCATGGACGAGCAAGCGCTTTGAGAGAAGACAGATGAGAGCCGTTCAGGATGTTTGGAGGCAAAACTGAGTCATCAGCAGGTGTAGAGCTTCGTCTTGCTCTGTGGACGTCCTTCTCTGTCACATTGGTTTCATATTGACTCTGCAATGGTGCCAGCAATACTCTGGACACATTTCAGAGAAGACAAAACATTTCATTGCAGTTTTAACACTTTTAAAAAACAAACTCTTACTCTATACTGTAAAGCTTTGCTAATACTAACTAATATGGACCTATGTTTTCCTTGAGGTAAGTAAGGACAGACCTGTTGAAGAAGAATTCTGCAGGAGTGGTGAGTCACCCAGTGATGTGGAGGCAATTCCTCTCCGTGGCCCTGATTTCCACACATGACACAATTTGTTTAAATGCACTTTAAATCAGCAGAATATCACTTAGAAACTTCTCTGATCCTGTTACTCCACAAATGTTTAATGTTAGCCACAAACTAGGTATATTATAATTAACACAGTATGGATTTTAACATTGTTCTCAGCCGGAAAAGGGTGGAGTGCCCACTCCGGGTCGGGGATGAGTTCCTGCCCCAAGTGGAGGAGTTCAAGTATCTCGGGGTCTTGTTCGCGAGTGATGGGAGAAGGGAGCTGGAGATCGACAGACGGATTGGGGCTGCGGCTGCAGTAATGCGGACGCTGCACCGGTCAGTCGTGGTGAAGAGGGAGCTGAGTGTAAAAGCGAAGCTCTCAATTTACCGGTCGATCTACGTCCCTACCCTCACCTATGGCCACGAGCTGTGGGTAGTGACCGAAAGAACGAGATCGCGGATACAAGCGGCGGAAATGAGCTTCCTCCGAAGGGTGGCTGGCCTCTCCCTTAGAGATAGGGTGAGAAGTTCGGCCATCCGGGAGGGGCTTAGAGTAGAGCAGCTGCTGCTCCACATCGAAAGGAGCCAGCTGAGGTGGTTCGGGCATCTGGCAAGGATGCCCCCTGGGCGCCTCCTGGGCGAGGTGTTCCAGGCATGTCCCACCGGGAGGAGGCCCCGGGGCAGACCCAGGACACGCTGGAGAGATTATATCTCTCGGCTGGCCTGGGAACGCCTTGGTATTCCCCCGGACAAGCTGGAGGAGGTGGCTGGGGAGAGGGAGGTCTGGACCTCTTTGCTTAGGCTGCTACCCCCGCGACCCGACCTCGGATAAGCGGATGAAGATGGATGGATGGATGGATGGATGGATGGATGGATGGATGGATTTTAACATTCCAGATTATAATGGGAGAAAAAAAACAAAGAAAAGAAGAATAGCATGACAATGACCCATTTTGTTTTAGGAGACAGTTACTGAATAATTGCAGAAATTTAAATTCTATAAAACTGCATCATTTCCTTCCGTTTTTCCAGCTTTTCTCATTTTAAGTAAGGTACTTACAGTTTATTTTGTTGTTTAGGATACATCGATTATCAAACAGCTCACCTTGTTTGACCCTTCAGCTAGAAATACAGTCATGTAAAAACTAAGTACACCCTTACTGTTTCCATAGGAAATAAGGCAAAGAGTGAAGCTAGGTGCTGCTAATTAAATGTACCTGATTAACTGATCATCAGCAAATTCATCTCAAGGTCAGAACATGCAAACCTCAGAGAAAGTGCAAAATACCCAAGAGCTACATCTAATATTCCTCAAGTTTCAGTTAACATGTTTAATGTTAAAGTGCACGACAGTTAGAAAAAGACTAATCACGTATGATCTGTTTGGAGGGGTTGCCAGAAGAAAGCCTCTCCTCTCTGAAAAGAACATGGCAGCACAGCTTAGGTTAGGAAAATTACACCTGAACAAACCACAAGACTTCAGGAACAATGTCCTTTAGACAGACGAGACCAAAGGCAGGTTTGTGGTAGGTTTACATCTCTCTGTGCACCACCACGGTGGATTTTAAACAGTCAATATGGGATTGAAGTGAAGACTTCAACTTTAATTCAAAGAGTTTAGCAAAATTATTGGATCGACTGTTTAGGATTAACCGCCATTCGTTTTAGATAGTTCCCCATGTTTAGAGGCTGTTTTTCAGGGTACAAGGTTACTGATAAGCAGCGCAATGGGCAGGTGAGTTATTTGGTATCTTTTCATCAAAACTTTCAATATGAGGTGCAAACAGAA